AGAGCACTGGGCTAGGACAGACACCTCTCCCCGACAGCGGGGTGGCAGAGAAGAAGCAGCAGCCCCTTGCGGGGCTGGTGGGGTGGGAGGTGGCCACGCTGACTGTCCCTTCTCCTCCACTTCTCCACCTGGGGACTTGGGGAGCGCGTGAGCATGCATTGGCATGTTTTCAAGCTACCAGGGCTGGGATTTGAACCGTGGTCAGCGATGTGGGATCTAGTTCCCTTAACTACCAGGCCACAGGGCCAGCCCTGGATTTGCTCTAATTTTCCACCTTAAACCATCGAATTTCCCAACCTTTTTTAGCATTTCACAGACCAAGACAGCCATCACTTCGTAATTTTCTTCTAGAAGAAAAAAAAGAAACTTAGGGATGGAGATCTTAAAGGAACCGCTCAGTTAATTAACTGCAGCCTCAGCGGCACACTTAGACGTCCTGATAATGAAATACGTTTGGACTTCTCGGTGTGTCAACATTTTAATGAGATCATTGAAAACCCATCCTTGGTCTGGGTTTATCCTTCCTTGAGGCGCGCCTGGGCTGGAGCGGGCGAGGCCAGCAGGTGGCGCTCTGACCCAGCACCTGGAGGCGCCGACGGGTGAGGCAGCCAGAGCCAAGGTGCCTGCTCAGAACCCTCTGAGGTCCCTTAACCACTTGTCATAAAACACCCGAGATGGCGTCTGGGAAAATCGAAGTGTCAAGCTCAGCATCTTTGCCACATTTCAAACGAGGTAATTACCTTCCCTCCCAAAGGGAGTCTGTTTTATGTGTTTGCGTCCTTTCTAGGTTACAAGTTTCCCAAAGGCAAGGATCTCGCCTTGCACTCACTCGAGAATGTGAAAGCGAAATGCACATTTCACAATAACAGTTTAATCTCCCTGGGTCCCTCTGGGCCACAGCTGGCCCGTTACGTAACTGGCAGTGACACCGAAGGCGCCCTCCCGCAGAGCTGGCTGCCCCGCTAGTGGGAGTTCTCATTTGACCCCCAGGTGAAGCGCTGGTCACCTCTCCTTACGGGAGGGGCAAGAGCACCACGTCCCCGCTCTCGCATCCGGGTCCTTCTCAAGGAAACGACGCGGCATCTGAGTGTCACTTTTATTAGGTATACGGGATTTTTTTTTGACTACACACAACTAATACTTTGATATAATCCAAGATAATAAAATAGTTGAGCAACTTTTGCTAGATTTACATCTGTATAGAAACTTCCGTGAAGCTCACGTCAGACGAAGGCGTCTGCAGAGGGGTTCATCGGCACCTCTCCCGTAGCCGTGCGCGAGGGTCGAATGTCGTGATTCCACGCTCAGCAGGAGCTCGTCTCCATGCCTGGGGAAGGAGGCCGAGAAAGCAAGGACGGCCTGTCCCCTCTGCCCTTCCCTGGCGTGGCACGGGGCACGGGTTGTCAGGAGAGCCAGGAGGAAAGCGAGTCGGCTGCACTTCTCATGCGAGGTGCCAAGGCCGTGCGAGTCTGCGCAGCGACCCCAGCGGGGACGTGGGCCCTGGCACATGCTCTCTTCTGCTCCCCACGGCCGCTGCTACGGACAGGCTGTGGCTGTCGGTCCTCCGTAATGGCTGGCCCCACCGTCACGCTGTCACTGAGGGCTTGTCTCAGTGTCGCCTGGTCGACCGCCCCTAGAAATGCCTCTTCCCACCCTCGAGTCCCCGAAGTGCCGCGGCGTGCAGGCCCCGGAGGAGTGCCCGGCCGTCATGCCCACAGACGCCGGCCTACACCATCCCGTTGATCTTGGTCCACTCGTAGATGTCGTGTTCGCACACGATGTCGGAGTTGACCAGGAGGTACCTGTCGCCCACGCAGAAGTGCTTCTGGCAGGCGGCACATTTGAAACACTCCAGGTGGTAGACCTTGTCCTTCACCCGCATCGTCATCTCATAGGCCCGGATCCGCTTGTCGCAGGACGCACAGAGACCGTCCTGGCCGAAAAGCCTGGCAGAGAGAAAGCAAGCTGCAGAGGTGGTTTGGAGACGGAGTGCGGGCCTGGGTGGCTCCGTCAGGCAGGCCGAGCTGCGGGGAGCCGGGGAGCTGCGGTGGGAGGAGGGGCGCTCTGGGAGGGCAGCACCCATCCGTCCGGTGTAACCCTCTTCCAGCTTCCTCTCAGCAGCTGCTCTGGCACTCCCCAGGCCCCCGCTCCGAGGACTCCCGCAGTCCCTGGGTAAGGGCTGGGCATGCAGGAGCCGGGCCCCTCCCAGGGCCTTCCGCCAGGGACCAGGGGCTGGAGCAAGGCTCTGTGGCTGCTCGGAGAGGGCACCGACCAGGACCGCAATACAACGGGCGTATTTCTGAGGCCTCCAAACTCGGTCAGGTCAACAGCCACTCGTCCTCCCTGGGAGGGGCTTTGGGGTCACCACAGCCTGTAGAGCCCACGCCCCTCTCCTGGGCAGCCCTTCCCCGGGAGCCTGCACCACTCCTGGGACCTGTGCCCATCCTGGGAGCCAGACCCTCTCCTGGGCAGCCCTTCCCCGGGAGTCTGCGCCACTCCTGGGACCTGTGCCCATCCTGGGAGCCAGACCCTCTCCTGGGCAGCTCCTCCTCAGGAGTCCGTGCCACTCCTGGGAGCCCCTCCCCTGGGAGCCGGGAGACAGGAGTTTGCCAGGAAACACGGGGCAGTGACAGATGACAAACAACCCCGCATGGTCACGACCCTCCCCACCCCAGGGATGCCCGTCTCTAGGAAACTTCTGACATTTAAATCGAGAGCCCTCAAGGCCTCAGCTGGGAAGTCACCTCCTCCCGGCCCCAGTCAGTGTCTGCGGGAAGGACGTGAGCAGGGCCCGGGGCCACATTTCCCAGAGCGCTGGTCCCAGGACGGCCGGACAGCCCTGCCTGACAACAGGGCAGAAACACCGAAGCTCGGCCCACGCCCCTGCCCACGGCTAAGGTACCAGGGAGAGGGCCTGCAGCCCATGTGGGCCGGCACTCCGGGGGCTCTGATGCAGGCTCAGCTTTGAGAATTGGCCTCAGGAGTTGGGGCCACACGGGTACTGGAACCAGGAGGCCCAGTTCAAAGTCTGGGCCACCGAGCGCCAGGTGGCCCTGGGAGAGCCGTGACCTCCCTGAGCTCCAAATGGCCGCGACCACAGCCCTGGGCCTGGCGTCTGCAGCAGGCCTGTGCTGCGGCCATCTCGCTGGGACCTGTCGTGGTGCTCCAGCGCAGGCTCGCTGGGAGGTCACTCTGGGTGGTAAGCAGCTGGGTCCCACGTCCAGCCGCTGGGCCTAGGCAGTGCTGTCCTTGGGGAAGTCCTCGCTCAGCTCGGAGCAGGACGCCAGGTGGCATGTCAGCTGGGGCGAGAGGGCGGCGGGCAAACCTCATGGCGTTTGGGCCACGTGCTCGGCCTGATGGAGGCAGCCACGAGGAGGGCTGGGGGAAGCAGGCGCCAGCTCCCTGCAGCGCCGCCTGCCAGGCTGGGCTCGAGAGCTCCGAGCGAGCTCGTTCCCGCGGGCGGGCACGTGGTCCCGAGTAGCAGACGGCGCAGCCGAGGGTGACCGCAGTCTCCCAGCGGACAGCCGGTGCTGGCCTCTGCTCAGTAAGTTAAGAGTGGGCTGGGCAGGGAACGGGCCCCATTGCTCGGGCTGCGGGGAGGAGGGAGCTCAGTAAAGGGAAGTCGGACGGGGGGGTGGGGACGGCCACACGCCTCAGGGAGCTAGTGACGGGACGGGACGGGGGCTGACACGTGGGAGGCAAGTTCAGGTCTCAGCACCACCTCTCACGAGCCGGGTGACCAGCGCTAATGACAGCCCCTCTGGCTCCGTGCCCTAAGCTGGCAAGGACCTGGAAGAGAAGGCCCCAAGGCCCCCAGCTCAGGGGCCTGGACCCTAATGACAGTACTGGACGCCTGGCCCAATAGCACCTCTGGCACCCAGAATGATGTCCTCAGCAGGCTCCCTCAGGACCAGAGTCCGCAGGGCAGACTGTTGCAGGTGGTCACCGGGGGTGAGTCCGTCCTCAGGGGCGGCCATAAATCAGGGAGGGACACTGCAGGCAGGAGGCGGCCAGGCCAATTCCGATCTCAGGCGAAGGCCGCAGAGGGCGGCGCCGGCCTGGTCACCGGGGCACACGCTGCCGTGGACAGGGCTCGGGCGCCCCTGCAGAGCCTGCTTGCTTGGGGTCTGCTGGGGCGGCCACGCTTCGCGCTCTAACGGACACAGGTGCAGTGGGAAGGTAACCCCCAGGGCTGGGGCGCTGAAAGACCGGAAACAGGGTGCCCAGGGGCGTGGAGCTGCCGGAGGGTCCTGCTGACACAGCGTGACGGCAGCAGGTGCAGGTGGCAGGGTGTCCCTTGGGGACTTGAGGCCCAATGTCCGAAAGGGGCTGGAGCAGGCAAGGCAGCTCCTGGAAGTGCTGGCAGGGAGAAGTCATCCTGGGGACCCTCTCGGCCCTCCTCCACTCGCCTGGCTAACAAGCCCATGGCCGGAAGGACGGTCCCCAAAGCAAAGAGCCATCATTCTCCTCTGTCAAGAGGTGTCACATCCTGAGCGGGCTGCCGCCCATTGTAATAACAATAATATAAATATTAAAGGGCGGCTGGAAACGCCTGCGCTAACCAGAGTTAATTAACATGTCGCCAGGAAGGCAGCGGGGAGAAGAGTTATTTCATGTCATCAAGACGCAAGTTAATTAACACTGGGTTCTCCCAGACGATCTTTTTCTCTCCTTTTGGAAATGGAAAAGATTAACAAGCCCGGGCAGCACTGGTGTTTTCCTGAACGCTGTGTAAACCCGCGCGCGGCGAGGGAGAGGCTGGGCGCCGACCTCACTTGGGCAGCACTTCATTACCAGGGCTCAGACGATGGTCAGGGCGCAGTCAGGGCCCGGTGGGGCTCGCCTGCCGTCTGCCTTCTGCCTGACGAGGCAGACTGGAGTGAGCAAAGCCTGGTCCGTATTTACCTGTTCTATTTTCTTATGACTTAAAAAATAAGGGGGAAAAAAAGAGGCCAGTGTTACAATGATGACTGAAAAAACCCTACTTATTTTCTCAGAACCACCAAATTTGCAAGGACTTTATGGGGGAATTTAGAGGGGAAAAAGCTTATTCAGTCAGTCTTGGGGTAAACAGATAAGCTGCCTCTTCCTGGGAAATGTTCGCAGGTTTTTTTGTTTGTTTGTTTGTTTTTGCTTTTTCTTCACTGTGGCATGCTCCGAAGCTGGTGTGGAAGGAAGAGCCAGCCTGGTGGCCCAGGGCCATGGGGTCTGAACAAGCCCATGGGCCAGGTGGCCCTGAGGCATGAGGCCACCACACCCCACAGGCCCTCTGCCGACACAGCCCAGCAGCTCCGACAGCAGCAGGCAGTGACCTCCAGGCAGCTCACATGGAACTCACATGGAAATGCCAGCCCATTCCAGGCAGAGGCACTCGCGGAGTGCCAGACAATTCTCACGACCAGAGCGTGACACGGAGCAGAGACCGCCTCACTCTTGGACTCGCGGTGTTGGGGATCCTTCTCACTTTTCCATCGCCTGGTTCGGCAGCTGGAGAATACTTGAAGATAAAGCACTAGGGAAATGGACCAGGGCAGCCTTCGGAGACCTGCACAGCCAGCCCGGAGCCCCACGGCCCTCCGTCTTCGCCACTCCCTCGGGGGAGGGCCTGTCGTCAGCCTGTCTCAGGGAGGCAGGGAGGAAGGCATGGGGCTCGGTGGCCGGCCAGAGGGCCTGAGGTCACAAGCTAGAAAGCAAAGGGCTGGGGCTGGGACGCCAAGATGGTGCCTGAGCCGGTGCCGGCCGCATTCCCACATTCCCACTTGACGTTCTTGTCGCCGGACGCTGGAGCCACATGAGAACGCTCACACCGACCTCCGGGCTTTGAAGCTACACAATGTGCTCCTAGAACCCACGCCAACTATAAACGAGCCCCCAGCCCCTCGGACACTCCCCAGGGACCCCTCCGTGAGCTGCCTATCAGTCCCTGGCCCAGAGGGACCCGCCGCTCTGGATCTGTGTATCACTGTGCGTCACGGTAGACGTACCGGCCCTGGCCAGCGGGGACGTGTCTGTGCATATCACTGTCGTGTTAGATGTACCAGCACTGGCCTGCAGGGACGTGTCTGTGCGTGTCACTGTCGTGTTAGACGTACCAGCACTGGCCCATGGGGATGTGTCTGTGCATGTCACTGTCGTGTTAGACGTACCAGCACTGGCCCGCAGGGATGTGTCTGTGTGTGTCACTGTCGTGTTAGACGTACCAGCACTGGCCCATGGGGATGTGTCTGTGCATGTCACTGTCGTGTTGGACGTACCAGCACTGGCCCGCAGGGATGTGTCTGTGCGTGTCACTGTCGTGTTAGACGTACCAGCACTGGCCCATGGGGATGTGTCTGTGCGTGTCACTGTCGTGTTAGACGTACCAGCACTGGCCAGTGGGGACATGTCTGTGCGTGTCACTGTCATGTTAGATGTACCAGCACTGGCACGCGGGGACATGTCTGTGCGTGTCACTGTCATGTTAGATGTATCAGCACTGGCCCGCGGGGACGTGTCTGTGCGTGTCATTGTCGTGTTAGATCTGTGCGTGTCATTGTCGTGTTAGATGTACCAGCACTGGCCAGCAGGGATGTGTCTGTACGTCACTGTCGTGTTAGACGTACCAGCGCTCACCCATAGGGGCGTGTCTGTGCGTGTTACTGTTGTGTTAGATGTACCAGTACTGGCCCGCAGGGACATGTCTGTGCGTGTCACTGTCGTGTTAGATGTACCAGCACTGGCCCGCGGGGATGTGTCTGTGCATGTCACTGTCGTGTTAGATGTACCAGCACTGGCCCGCAGGGACATGTCTGTGCGTGTCACCGTCGCGTTAGACGTACCAGCGCTCGCCCACGGGGACATGTCTGTGCGTGTCACTGTGGTGTTAGATGTACCAGCGCTCGCCCACGGGGACGTGTCTGTGCGTGTCACCGTCGCGTTAGACGTACCAGCGCTCGCCCGTGGGGACACGTCACCAACAACAAGCTCCAGTGGACACTGCCAGCTGCCCCTGCGTGGCCCGCTGAGACGCAGTCTCAGGTGTAGGCCCCACCTGGGACGAGACCCCCCAGCTCCCCGCCGGGCCGAGGTACCTGAGGTAGTCCCTCCGGCAGAGCTTCCGGCCCAACTTGTAGTAGAGACGCCGGCCCCCCTCGCCCAGCCGGCAGCCGCAGAGGTCGCAGCTGAGGCAGTCCTCGTGCCAGTACTGGTCGATGGCCTTCAGGAAGTAGCGGTCCCCGATGCTCTGCTGGCAGCCGCCACATGTCAGCAGGGATGGGGGGATCTGCAGCACCTCGTCCACTGGCTCCCTGGGGAGGAGGCCAAGCATTAGGGACGACCTCGCCATGGTGACTATCGCCCAGGTCAGGACTGCTCCGGGCCAGAGGAACCTTGCCTGATGGCCTGGGGACCCTAGGCGAAGGGACGTCCCTAGACTGGATGGCAGGGAGATCGGCCAGCCTCGGGTGCAGATAGGTGCCAGGTGACTGCTCCCTCGGCCCTGCGAGCAGTCATGTGGGCGCCCAGAGGCGGGCCTGCCACAGCCCCGTAGTCTTGGGCACCTGCTCCTGCCTGCTCTCCTGTCCTCATATGTCCCTCCTGCCCCTTCTCCATGCAAGGACCCAAAGGCACTGCCACTCCCAGAGGAAGCACTCGGCCCTGAAGGACTGCTCGCTGCCAGGCAGCCAACTGGCCAGAGGCTGACCTCTGCGGCTTCCCTGCAGGGTCTCTGCGTGGTCCCACCTCAGCCCTCCCGGCTGCACCAAGCACAGGCGAGGACAAAAGAAGAGGACGACCCCAAAGTAGGTTTTTCCAATATAAAAATTCCGTCAGGACGGTGGTTAAGGTGCTGGACTCGCACGCGGCTGACCACGGTTCAAGTCCTGGACCCAGCAGCTTGAAAATCATGCTGGGCATGTATGTGTGCATGCCCCAAATCCTGAGAGGAGACTGAAGGAGAAGGGACTGCAGCATGGCCATTGCCCCGGGAGGTGATTTCTCACTCCCCCTCTGTCTCTCTCTAGGGAGCACAAGCACTCTATGGCAAAAACCTAAAAAAAAAAAAAAAAAAAAAAAAAAAAACCAGAAAAAATCAGGATGTAACAGGAATCCTCCTTATTTGACTTCGCTTTACTTCTGCAGGAACTCTACACCCCACTCTCTGTACTGGATGAACACTGGGGGGTCGCAGGCGAGAAGGCCACAGTCAGGCGCGTGGGGGATGTCCAACAGGCCGTGCCCCCCATATGCGAGCCCTTTCTCAACAGGAAAACCGACCTGGGTAACGCGGACTTCGGGAAGAAAGTGGGGGCGAGGGCGGTGACTACCTTAGAGGGAGTGGGAGGCGGTTAACGAAACCCTACTGTCTCAGGGTAGGCGAGTGGTTGACAGCGAGCCAGGGACCTGTTCTCCACTTAAACCGCACAGACTGTCTCCTGGCCGCTCTGCCCCGCTGCAGTCTGAATACATATTTTTATATTTTAAAACATAGCTTTGCCAAATGGATGGAGTAGGAAAGATCCTAGCTCCAAAGGCGCCCGGGAAACTCAATACTTGCTGACCTGTGCTAATTAACAAGTGCCCTCTGGAACCCTGAAAATAAACTATCTTTTTTTAAAAAAAAAAAAAAATGTGTTTGGTTTCAGTGATTAAATGTAAAAAATGAGAAAATTAAATTTTTAACAATGTACTACGTTTTTAAAAGCGGACCTTCTTCCAACCTTGAGGTTCCCGAGGGAGCTTCCTTGGAGGTAGTCCTGTGGCCTCCTCCCCAGCTGGTGCGAACGTACAGGTGCCCTCATGTCCTAACCCTCACCCATCACACCCAGGGACACGGAGGCTCATGAGGAGTGCCCAGCACCCTCGGGCAGCTTCCTGGGAAGAGCGGGGGCATGCAGGGTTCCCTGAACGTCTCCAGGGTGCTGGGACGAGGCCCCGCTGCAGTCGAGCGAGAGCACCTTATGTGAGACCTCGGCACCCTCACAGGAAATGCACAGCTGGAAGTCCCTAAGACAGTCCAGACCAGAGTTTGAAGGGGTCCCTGAAGGCCAACTTGCTTCTCCGCATTTGCAGACTGCACACAAGGCCGTGCACTGGCCCTCCAGACAGCTAGCACCTGGCCCTGCACGCGCGTCCAAGCACACCCGCCAGTCCTCTCCACCTGCAGCCCACGGCCTTCCCTCCGGCTTTCAAAAACACTCTGGGAGGCCTGCAGGTGACGTAATGGTGACATTGCTGGACTCCCACTTGGTCGACCTCAGATCGAGTCCTGGACCAAACTCACGCCGGGTGTGTATGCGTGTGTGCCCGAAATCCCAAGAGGAGAATGGAGGAGCTGGGATTGCGGTGTGACCATCCCCGAGGGGGCGATTTCTTACTTTTTGTCTCTAGTAAGTGCGCATGCCCTATAGCAAAAACCTCTCTAAAAAAATAAAAGCACTAGGGGAGCTGGGTCACGCTGACCCCTGACCCTAGCACTGGGCAGCCACTGCTGTGAAAGAGGAAGGGCTGCTGCTGCCCCTCACCAGGAGGGCCAGGGCCACCGACCGCAGGCGGGGGCATCCCGTGTCCGTGCGCTCTGGGGCGGGGGCATCCCGTGTCCGTGGATGCTGACTGTCTGGCTGCCTGGCTGTGCTGAAGCAAGCCTCTACCTGTCCTTAGGGTACTGCCTATGATGGCCAGGGGACTCTGAGCAGGAGGCACAGCACGAGGGCCACCGTGATGGCTGGGAGGAGATGGAGCAGGCCAGGAGCAGACGCCAGCGCCATTCATCTCGTGTAATGAACGATAATATCACGCTGTCTTCGGTGGCCAGTCCAAGACAGTGATGGAGGGGGACTCACCCTCGATGAAGATTTCACGTTCTCCAGGGCCTACCCTGGGCGGTACACCTCTACAGCACTTCAGCTGGTTTGGGGACAATTTCTCAACAATTTGGAGGGGGGCGGTGCTGTAGCGGTTTCTCAACTAGCCTGTGCCTCTTGGATCGGAACCCGGCCTCAAGGTGACGGTGACCGAGAAGCGGAGGTGCCTGCTGAGTTATGAAGTGGGGATGTTCCCATTCGCTAACCTCAGAGCAGAGCACAACTTCGGAAAGAGAAAACTTCCTTCAGGAACTGAAAGCTCCGGCCTGAGCTTCCCCTGACTCACGGGTGACCGAGATCCGGCATCCAGGGGCCCCTGGTTGAATTGCTGAGCGCGGCTCCGGCTCCGAACACCCAGGGTGCCTGCTAACTCCAGCTTTATGCAAACGGAGCACACGGCCCTCTGCACCCGGTCTGCATGGACAGGGACTTTAAAAGGGAACGTCTTCCTCCTAAGAATTTGTTCAAGGAAACTGGGTTTTGTTACGCCAGCTCTGCTCCTTATGGACTTGACACCGAAATCTTCGAGACAACGGTGACGTTTCTGTTCTCCGGGGACCTCGGGCTTCCCGTGCCCCGTGCTTTATGAGAACAGCCCAAGCTCCCATCCAAGTAACCAGGGGAAAACCCCAGGTAAACACACACCACGGAGAGCTGAAGCTGCAGGGAGGTGGGCCTCCAGCAGGAAAGCACAATTCTTTCAAAACAGGAAAAGAAAAAACAAAACAAATGCCCCCTGAAAGTCACTGCAGGTCCTTAGCCAGTCCCTTCCTGGGTAACAAATCCCTTCAAAGGCTTAGGGGACTTCAAAGGACGAAAAATTCTCCAAACCGGACAGCTAATGATGCCTAAAAGGGGAAACTGCTACCCCGACGCCCCTTGCTCTCCATGTAGCACGAGAGAACCCAGTCGGGGTGCAGGGCGGGAGGAGGACCCACCTCGAGCAGCGGCGCCACAGGGTCCTCAGCGCTCTGCTTCCCTGACCTAAACCCTCAGTCGATGGTAGAAGCGCTGACACCCTGCTCCCCTGAAAAATGCACCTCCACCCAGAACGGTGCGCTAACTTGGGAGGTCACAGCCCTCGCGGTGGCCCCGGCGGGGACACGCGCCCGGACGACCTCCAGCTCCACCGCTCTGGCGGCGTCTAGAAGCCAGAGCGCGCTCGGAGGTGGGGGCCGTCCGTCCTCGGCCCGCTCCACCTGCGGACCCGGAAGGGGGCCGTCGGGGTCCTGCGAACCTCCTCTCGGAATACCCGGCTTTCCAGGACCAAATGCACAAAGAGAAGGGGCCCGGAAGCCGCGGGCAGGGAGCAGATGCGGATGCTCCCGGGACCGCCCGGCGCGCTCCGAGCCCCGGCGCGGGCTCCGGTGCAAACTTTCCGGCCCGCGGCGGCTACGGGGAG